GAGACGCCAACTCAAAAAAAAAAAAAAAAAGAGTTATTGAATCCAAGTGTTACCAACAAAAGAATACTTGAATTCTAACTTAGTCGTGGCATTGTTTTTTAAAGACCACGCATGAACGTTTTTTTTTTTTAAAGTAGGCTTTTTGTTCAGAGTTCAAAAATAAGATTAAATAAATGAATTGACTTATAAATGGCTTAGCCAACAGCCACAAGGGTAGAATACTTCTGTGGGAGAAGAATGGATGAAGTGCTCCAAAACAGCTTGTGGTTTCTTTGCATTTTTACATGAAATTGTCTCTTAGCATTCTTCATTCAAATAAATAAATTTTTTTATTTGTTTTATTTCCATAAAATAAATATTTTATTTTAAAGAGGTAGGGTACAATTCAGGAATAGGTAGGTATACAAGTGAACATTGTACAGGTAAAGTTTGGGCCTCCCTTTGGTCCCCACTTTGGTTTGAGATCAGTACCTTTATTGATGTTATATGCCCACCCCCACCCCACCTCCACTCCAGCAGTATCAGAGATACTCTTTTTTTATTTTTATTTTTTTGAGTCATAATCTCATCCTGTCACCTAGGTTGAAGTGCAGTGGCACGCTCACAGCCACCGCAGCCTCAACCTGCTGGGCTCAGGTAATCCTTCTACCTCAGCCTTCCAAGTCACTGGAACTACAGGCATGCGCCACCATGCCTGGCTAATTTTTTGATTTATTTTAGAGACCAAGTCTTGCCAAGTTGTCCAGGCTGGTCTCAAACCCCTGGGTTTAGGCAATCCCCTTGCCTCGGCCTCCGAAAGTGCTGGGATTACAGGCATGAGCCACTACACACAACGGATCAGAGATATTCTTTTTTCTTTTTTTTGAGTTGGAGTCTCGCTCTGTCACCCAGACTGGAGTGCAGTGGTCTCTCCCGGCCACCGCAGCCTCGACCTGCTGGGCTCCGGCGATCCTTCCGCCTCAGCCTTCCAAGTAGCTGGAACTACAGGCGCACGCTCCCACGCCCGGCTAATTTTTTGTTTTATTGTAGAGATGAGGTCTCGCCAAGTTGCCCAGGTGAGTCTCGAACCCACGGGCTCAGGCAATCCACTCATCTCTCCCTCCCAAAGCATGGGATTACAGGCTGAGCCACCAAGCCCAGCCATCAAAGATATTCTTTTTTTTTTTTGTCCTCTGAGTTGGAGTCTCACTCGGTCGCCCCGACTGGAGTGCAGTGGCCGCTCCCGGCCACCGCAGCCTCGCCTGCTGGGCTCCGGCGATCCTTCCGCCTCAGCCTTCTGAGTAGCTGGAATTACAGGCATGTGCTACCATGCCCGGCTGATTTTTTGATTTATTGTAGAGATGAGGTCTCGCTGCCCAGGCGGTTCTCGAACCCGCAGGCTCAGGCAATCCACTCACCTCAGCCTCCCAAAAGCGTGGGATTACAGGCTGAGCCACCAAGCCTGGCCATCAGAGATATTCTTAACAAAATCTTTAAAATGGTGGGTGTGTGTGTGTGTGCACACACGTAGAAAGAGGAGAAGAGAAGCTAAGAACTGAAATGAGGGGAAAATATATATGTGCTTCTAGAACTATGATATGAATTATTTCTTTCTAAAGGTACATCTCACTAGAGTATAACAAAAACTAACCTGGAAAGAATTTGTTTTAAATTGGTGTCGTTTGACAAATAGAGCAATACACCAAAAGAAAGGCAAGAGCAGTGAAGTAATAATGTTTCTGCCCCTGTATGATTTCATAATAATTAAAAGTGCATCTGTTCCAAAAGTTTCTTCTTAACACTTCTCTACCTGTGATTCTTAGAAGGGAAGAATAAAGCAAGAAAACTACAGCTGCTTCTACCTGCCCAGTTTATATTCTTAAATTTTGGAATTTAGGATGAGTTTATTGAATCTATCCTCAACTCTTCCTACCATAATAACCACTTAGAATTTCAAAGATATGTTATTCCTCCTTTAAGGAATATATTTCTCTCTACGTACATTAACTATTTTGTTCAGTAAATACAGAGTTTTTAGTATTACAATGCTAATTACTTTGGTTAAGATTTAAAATTACTATTAACAGAATTTTTTTCAAATAATAAAATATTGTGGTGAATAATAATTTTGCAGTGTACCTGAAGTTGTTTTTTTTTTATCTTTGTAGATCTTTTTGTGGGATGAAGAGAACTATCATTTAGTTTTTTGGAGTCCTTAATACCTAAGGATTATGTAGTTTTTTCGAGTTTTGAATAACTAAGAAACAATAACAGATTCATTCCTTTTATAACAGCAACTTCTCTAGTCCATAAACTTTAAATATCTTGCTTTGTATCTCTTGAATGTAGTAACTTTCTATAAATTATACTAAAATTTAGTATGCCGTGGTACCCTGTCTAGAATGATAGAGTATGCAACTTAAAGGACCTTTCACTTCAGAAAGATAATTTTTTTTATAGTACTTCACATTTAAAAGCACTTAGTGGGCTAGGCTCAGTGGCTCAACCTGTAATCCCAGCACTTTGGGAGGCTGAGGCGAGTTGATTGTCTGAGCCCTCGGGTTTGAGACCAGCCCAGGCAACTTGACAAGACCTCATCTCTACAATAAATAAAAAATTTGCCAGGCATGGTAGAGTGTGCCTGTAGTTCCAGCTACTTGGAAGGCTGAGGCAGAAGTATTGCCAGAGCCCCGCAGGTCAATGTTGGGGTAACTGTACGTGAGCCACTATACTCCAGCCTGAGCGAGAATTAGACTCCAACTCAAAAAAAAAAAGCACTTAGTGTATGTTATATGATTTAATTCTTACAATCCTGGGATAGAGGAATTACTGTTCCCATTTTGTAACTATCAGATGTAGGAAGGTTAATAAGTAATAATTGCTTAAGAGAGTAAGTAACAGCTAGAATTTGAACTTAAGTCGTTGGGCTTCAAGTTCAATGCTCTTTCCGTTCTTTTGCATTGCCTTCTTAACTGTAAATTATTTATATGATTAAGGAAACTAGATTGTTTAATGCCTTTTGTTTATCAGGACCTTTGCCAGATAGTTTGCATTGGCTGTCTCATTGTCAGAACAATCCTGTGAGGTAATTATCCACATTTCATATATGAGGGAACTATGTTAGAGAAGGTAAAATACTTGCCTAAGGTCTTAGAATTCAAACCAAGCTCTGTAAAGACACAGTTTATTTCCTATACCTATGTGAAAGCAAAAAAAGAAAGCTAAAATCATTTATGTTTCTAAAAAAACAGAATCTGAGTTCCTTCACTAAACTAAGACCTTGGGCTATGTTTGTTGTGTTCCATTGTATCATAGTGACATACTCTGTAAAGGCATGTCACTTGATGTACATCCAGATGTAGCTTAGGGTAACAAACATTTCTCATTCCGTAGCTAAACAATATTATATAAACATTTTAACCATTTATGAAGTAATAGGAAACCCCACACACAGATTGTTCTGTGCTCTGATAGTAAACCTGTATCCTCATCTGCTTTTCTTTCTTCTTTTTCCCCTCAGCTTAAAATTAGGCAGATTTCTTTGATAATTGTTACTATTTTTATTGATGTCTTCCTGTTAACCTTCCCCTAAAAAATTCAAATTAGGCTGGGTATGTGGCTCACGCCTATAATCCCAGTACTTTGGGAGGCCGAGATGAGAGGATTGCCTGAGTCCACAGGTTCAAGACCAGGCTGAGCAACTTGGTGAGACCTCCTCTCAACAATAAATCAAGAAAAATTAGCCAGGTAGGGTGGCAGGGGCCTGTAGTTCCAGCTACTTATAAGGCTGAGGTGGAAGAATCGCCTGAGCCCGGCAGGTTGAGGCTGTGGTGGTCATGAGCATGCCACTGCACTCCAGCCTGGGCAACAGAGTGAGACTCCAACTCAAAAAAAAATTCAAATCAGTCTATCTGTAATGTTAGATCAGGATTTCCCCTTCCACTGAACAGACTCAAGTCCTCTGCTTGTAGAAGGATCCTTAGAAGCATTGCCTTTCTCCCAAATAATTAAGAAAAGTAATGTCCTCATTAATATTACTTCATGTACCATGTAACTTATTATCATGGAGTTTTTGTTTGTTTGTTTGTTTGTTTTGTCTTTCTACTGTCCTACCCACCAGCACACAGATGGAGTTATAAGTTCCAGGAGAGCAGAAGTTTTTGTCTCTTGGTTCACTGAGGTATTCTACTGCCTAGAATAGCATCTGGCACATAGTAGGCACTCAGTAAATGTCTTATTCATCTTTCCAGTGAAGAAGCCATCTTTTACAGATGGTGTCTTCTTTGTTCATTTTGGCACTGTCAGTCCTTCCCACCTATATCTCTTTTTCTCCTCCTCTGCCTTTTCCCTTGTTTCCATGTGGCTGCGAGAGCTCTTTGAGGGCCCTGTGGCTTTTGTTTATTTGGTAGAATCCCTACTCAGACCTCTAACCTGCAAGACTCTGACACATTTTATGTCTTACCCAGCACAGTGAATTTTCAAGCTGTTACATATAAAAATAAAAATCTTGTTTTGTTTTCAAGCAATGAAATTGTGCAACTATCTAGGCATTGACTTGTTTCGAATGTTTGGAAATCATTGTAGGGAAAGCTAATGGTGGTGAAATCACTCAGAGGCAAAACCAATAGCCTTGTCGATTAATAACGTACTCCAAATGACTGACCTTTGGTATAGACCAATATATATTAATGCTTTTCTTTCTAAATTATCTGTTCTATTCACCTTGCTAGCTTCATAATATTCACACACCATTGTATAACATTGCCTTACTAGTCTTCCACCTGAAATAGTATGCTTTAGTCTAACCTGCCTATTTTCCTAAGATTCATAATGGGTAGATAGAAAGACTACTATTATTTTATTTTCTTCCCCTTCCCTTTATTACATAGGCTCAAGTAATTGTTTAACAAACAATAATAGAGTACTCAAGAGGAATTTGGAGAGAATCCAGAATTATTCATATTAAAAAGCTAATGCTAAAAGATTGACCTCTGGGATATCTAATTAATAATGCAGTTAAGCTGGGCTCGGTGGCTCAGCCTGTAATCCCGTGCCTTTGGGAGGCTGAGGTGAGTGAATTGCCTGAGCCCGCAGGTTCGAGACCCCCCCTGGGCAACTTGGCGAGACCTCATCTCTACAATAAATCAAAAAATCAGCCAGGCGTGGTAGCACGTGCCTGTAATTCTGGCTACTCGGAAGGCGAAGGATCGCCGGAGCCCAGTAGGTCAAGGCTGCAGTGGCCAGGAGCGGCCACTGCACTCCAGTCTGGGCGACAGAGTGAGACTCCAACTCAAAAATAAGTAAATAAATAAAAATAATGCAATTAAATGTGGCCTTTCCAGGCTGAGCCCTGGAAAGGCCCATGTCTGTAATCCCAGCACTTTAGGAGGCCAAGGTGAGAGAATTGCTTAAGCCTAGGCAACATAGCAAGACCTCATCTGTACAAAAAAACTGAAAAATTGGCTAGGCATGGTGGCACGTGCCTGTAGTCCCAGCTACTTGGAAGGCTGAGGTCGGAGAATTGCCTGAGCCCAGGAGGTTGAAGCTGCAGTGAGCTGTGATTGTACCACTGCACTCCAGCCTGGGTAACAGAGTGAGACTCTTGACTCAAAAATTTTAAAGAGTGACCTTCCCATTCTCTGACCTTCTATAACACTAATGGAATTTATAGTTTTACATCCATACATATTTTTTTTTTTAAGTTGGAGTCTCACTCTGTCGCCCAGGCTGGAGTGCAGTGGCGCACTCACGGCCATTACAACCTCGACCTGCTGGACTTAGGTGATCCTTCTGCCTCAGCCTTCCAAGTAACTGGAACTATAGGTGCATGCCGCTACACCCAGCTAATTTTTTTCTGGTGTAGAGACAAGGTCATGCCAAGTTTCCCAGGCTGATCTCATCAAACCCCTGGGCTCAGGCAATCCTCTTGCCTCCACCTTCCAAAGTGCTGGGATTACAGGCGTGAGTCACTGTGCCCAGCCTTACATATTTTTTATACTTATCCTCTTTCTACTATTTGTAGAAAAATTAGTAAGTGTCTTCAGGGCTTTGAAGAAGTACCTTTCTCAGACTTGTGTTCTCTGAAAACCCTTAACAATGCCTTTTTTAATCCATAGTAGTACTTTATGTTGACATTTGTTGAATTGAGTTGAAAATATTTGCTGCCTATTAGTACCTAAAGGCATCTTTACTTGTGAGTAAGGTAAGGTATCAACATCTTTAATTAATGTAGAGAGTACCTCATTAACATCACGCTGAAAATGTCCCAGGTCTGATAATTATCCCTTAACCCTAAACCTGAAAAGCCAAGCTCATTCTGGATTTGGAATGGAAGTTTAATGGTACTTCTATAAAAACCTTTCATGAAAGATGCAGTCTTTTCATGATTTTCTGGGTTAAATTTAGCCCAGACTCCTGTCGTTGGGCTTCTCAGCTTTGATTTCAGTGGTGGGGCTACACGGGAACCCATAATTTCAGTTGTGTACACAATTCTAAAATACATAGAATATGTGAATGTCCACTATTCCCTCCCAGTCTTGGGTTTCACGACTTATATTTTCCTTCAGATATGGTCATGTATCCTAGTAAGACTGGAGCTATGCTTAAGTGAAAACATCTTTATAGTATAAAATAGGTAACATTTTGCATAGCTGCAATTGAGAGCACAACCTCACCTTTTTTTATACTATTTTCGGAATAGTATTTTATATATTTTTTATGACTAAATATTTATTTCAATGTGTTTTCTCTACAGAAAATTTTTGTTATAATTATATTCAGCAAGCACATAGTGGAGCAAATGGTGGCTTTTATTGGGTAAGTAATTCTTTAAGAGCTAATATTAATATCATTACTGTTTCAGTGGGAGTAAATGTGTAGAAGACTGACTTGGAATAAAATTTTTGACATAGCTCTTTTTTTTTAAGCAAAAATCATTTGCCATTATCAGTTAAATGGAAGACTTTCTTGTCCTAAAACAGGAAAGAATTAAATTCACATTATACCTGTTTAATTGTAAGCAAAACATATCAAGTCATATAATACATGATTTAAGAGAAGCTTTGGATCATTTGAGCCCAAGAGGTTGAAACTACAATGAGCTGTGATCACACCATTGCACTCTAGCCTAGGCAACAGAGTGAGAACCTGTCTCTTGAAAAAAAAAATTAATTAAAAATAAGCAAATAAATAAAAGAAGCTTTGGGGTTTACATCTGTAATCCTTCCCCCAAAAATAAGAAATTATCTTGATATAAAAGACATGTGTGCCTCGTTACAATTTAATGGTGTTTAGTACAGTGCTGTGACTTTTGGCCAAAATTGGATGCCAGATACACAGTTGCATTTAATTTAGGATAAACCTTACATAAAATTTTAGTATTTCATTAAATAAGGCATGATAAGATGATACAATTTTTTTTTCTTCTTTTTTTTTTGAGTTGGAGTCTCACTCCTTTGTCCAGGCTGGAGTACAGTAGCACAATCACGACTACCCAAGCGTCGACCTGCTGGGCTCAGGCAGTCCTTCCACCTCAGCCTTCCAAATAGCTGGAACTACAGGCTCATACTATCAGGCCTAGCTAATTTTTTATTTATTATAGAGACAAGGTCTTGCCAAGTTGCCAGGGCTGGTCTCGAACCCATGAGCTCAGGCAGTCTACTCACCTCGGCCTCCCAAAGTGCTGGGATTTCCAGACTGAGCAACTGAGCCTGGCCTAGATGATATAATATTAACAAAATACATCAGGTATATATTACTTCACTAGATAAAAATTAGATCTTTTAAAAAAGTTAAATTACCCAATGCTTTTTTTTTTTTTTGAGTTGGTGTCGCATCACACTGTCTCCCAGGCTGGAGTGCAGCGGCACTCTCATGGCTATCACTGCCTTTACAAACTGGGCTCAGGCGATCCTTCCACCTCAGCCTCCCGAGTAGCTGGAACTACTGGCATACGCCACCATACCTGGCTAATTTTTTTTTTTTTTTTTGAGTCGGAGTCTCACTCTGTCACCCAGGCTGGAGTGCAGTGGCATGCTACTCATGACTGTAGCGTGACCTCCTGGGCTCAGGCGATCCTTCTACCTCAGCCTTCCAAGTAGCTGGAACTACAGGCACGTGCCACCACACTCAGCTAATTTTTCTTTATTTATTATAGAGATAAGGCCTCACCAGGTTGTCCAGGCTAGTCTCAAACCCGTGGGCTCAGGCAATCCTCTCACCACAGCTTCCCACAGTACTGGGATTATAGGCGTGAGTCACTGTGCCAGGCCGAAGTTTTCATTTAATAATACAACTGAGCTGGGCATGGTGGCTCAAGCCTATAATCCCAGCACTTTTTTTTTTTTTGAGTTGGAGTCTCACTCTGTCACCCAGACTGGAGTGCAGTGGCCGCTCCCAGCCACCGCAACCTCTACCTGCTGGGCTCCGGCGATCCTTCTGCCTCAGCCTTCCCAGTAGCTGGAACTACAGGCACGCGCTACCACGCCCGGCTAATTTTTTGATTTAATGTAGAGATGAGGTCTCGCCAAGTTGCCCAGGTGGGTCTCAAACCCGCGGTCTCAGGCAATCCACTCACCTCGGCCTCCCAAAGGCACGGGATTACAGGCTGAGCCACCAAGCCCAGCCTCCCAGCACTTTTTATTAGCCCAGCTTGGTGGCGCATGCCTATGGTTCCAGCTACTTGGAAGGCTAAGGTGAAAGGATCTCCTGAGCCCAGCGGCTCGAGGCTGCAGTAGCTGTGAGCGTGCCTCTGTACTCCAGCCTGGGCAACAGAGTGAGACTCCAACTCAAAAAAAAAAGCTGGACGCGGTTGCTTATGCCTATAATCCCTGCACTTTGGGAGATGGAGGCGAGAAGATTGCCTGAGCTCAGGGATTCAAGACCAGCCTGTGCAACTTGGTGATACCTTGTCTCTACAATAAGTCAAAAAATTAGCCAGGCATGATGGCACGTGCCTGTAGTTCCAGCTACTTGGAAGGCTGAGGCAGAAGGATCGCCTGAGCCTAGCAGGTCAAGGCTGTGGTGGCCATGAGCATGCCACTGCACTCCAGCCTTGGCGACAGAGTGAGACGCCAACTCAAAAAAAAAAATCTCAGAGATTACTGTACCAACTTGAGAAAATTCTGAAAGGATACCCACACAATGTAGAGTGTACTGCACATAACATCCACAGTCCTTGTTTTTTCCCCATACTTAACAATGATAAAGGGAAGTTTTTAGCTACTCTAACACCTTCACTACTACCTTCTTGTTTCTCCAGCCTTTGGTGTTTCTAAGATTTAAATTACTTAGCTACCTGTCTCATCTACCCATATCCAATTTCATTCCCTTCCAATCTGCCCACCACATTGTAGTAATTAACCTTTTTAAGGTTGTAATTGGGCATTTCACCACCACTGTCCTCACCCCATCTCCTTCTCTACTTGAAACCCTGCACTTGGTTTCCCCTTCATTCTTCAGTTAAAGTCAAAACTCCTTAACAGGGATTGTAAAGCCCTGTATGATCTGTCCCCTGTAGTTTTCTCTGCCCAAACCACTTTGTCCTTACTTGAGTCTCCCACCACTGGTCTTTGGTTGTGCTTTTCCCTTTGCCTAGTTCAGTATTCCTCAATCTTGGCACTATTGACATTTTAGGCCAGGTTATTCTTCATTACAGGGAACTATCCTTTGTTTTGTAAAATATTTATCACCAACTTTGTCCTCTACTCACTACGGGCGGCTAGTACCTACCAGTCTTTTTTTTTTTTTTGAGTTGTAGTCTCACTCTTCCACCCAGACTGGAGTGCAGTGGCCGCTCCTGGCCACCGCAGCCTCAACCTGCTGGGCTCCGGTGATCCTTCCTCTCAGCCTTCCAAGTAGCTGGAACTACAGGCGCGTGCTACCACGCCTGGCTAATTTTTTTATTTATTGTAGAGATGAGGTCTCACCAAGTTGCCCAGGCGGGTCGCAAACCTGTGGGCTCAGGCAATCCACTCGCCTCAGCCTCCCAAAGCGTGGGATTACAGGCTGAGCCACTGATCCCAGCTGGCTCCCAGTCTTGACAATCAAAAATGTCTCCAGATATTGCCAATTGTTGCTTCAGGGCAAACCTACCACCCGCATTGGAAATCACTGGTCTAGATAATGTCCTTCAGATTTCAGCCATTGCATTCTCAGAAAACTTTCCCTGACTTAATCAAATACACTTTATGAGGGATCTCTCTTCACTGCAGTACATATTGTATGCTCTTTTTTGTTGTTTATTAAGAAAGAGAAGCTGGGCGCAGTGATTCACACCATTTATCCCAGTACTTTGCGAGGCAGAAGCGAGAGGATTGCTTGAACTCAGGGGTTTGAGACCAGCCTGAGCAACATGAGATCTCATCTCTACAATAAACCAAAAAATGAACCAGGCATGGTAGCAGATGCCTGTGGTTCCAGTTACTTGGAAGGCTAATGCGAAAGGATCACCTGAGCCCAGCAGGTCTTTGCTGCAGTGGTCTTGAGTGTGCCCCTGCACTCCAGCCTGGGCGACAGAGTGAGACTCTGACTCAAAAAAAAAGAAAAAAAAGGAAAGCTAGATTTATAAAGGAAAGATGCATTGTGAAGAAGACAACAAGTGTCTGTTGCTACTACATTCTCTTACAGTTATTTTTATGTTTATGTTTGTGGGTATTTGTTAACTACCATCTTTTTACTGCTAACCTGTAAGCTTCTTTTTGGGGGGGGATTCGGAGTCTCACTCAGTCTCCCAGGCTGGAATGCAGCGGCACACTCACAGCCACCATGGCCTCAACTTTCCTTCCACCTCAGCCTAATTTTTCGATTTAATATTGTTGCTCAGGTAGTCTTGAACTCCTCAGCTCAAGCAATCCTCTCGCCTCCACCTTCCAAAGTGCTAAGATTACAGGCGTGAACCACCGTGCCCAGTTCTAACCTGAAAGCTTCTTAATGGCAGAGACCGTGTCTGCTTTTGTTTACTATTATGTCCAGATGGCCTGTTGCCTTGACTGACACATAGCAGATGCTCAGTAAATATGTTGAATAAATGAACCCATGGTGTCCAAATAAAGATCTGACCAATAAAAATTAGCAAATCAGCCGGGTTTGGTGGTTCAGCCTGTAATCCCAGCACTTTGGGAGGCTGAGGTGAGTGGATTGCCTGAGCCCACAGGTTTGAGACCCGCCTGGGCAACTTGGCGAGACCTCATCTCTACAATAAATAAAAAATTAGCCAGACGTGGTAGCGTGCGCCTGTAGTTCCAGCTACTTGGAAGGCTGAGGCGGAAGGATCACCAGAGCCCAGCAGGTCGAGGCTGCGGTGGCCGGGAGCGGCCACTGCACTCCAGTCTGGGCGACTGAGTGAGACTCCAACTCAAAAAAAAAAAAATCAGCAAATCATCTGTATAGCCCAGATTCATTTGTTTCCCTGACCTTTGGAATTTCTATGAAATTGTATTATTTATCTATAATAAATAGAAATAAGGCCAGGCATGGTAGCTCATGCCTGTAATCCCAGCACTTTGGGAGGTTGAAGCCAGAGGATTGCCTGAGTCCAGGAGTTCAGGACCAGCCTGGGCAATTTGGTGAGACCTTGTCTCTACAACAAATTAAAAAATTGGTCGGGCATGATGGCGTGCACCTGTAGTTCCAGCTACTTGGAAGGCTGAGGTGGAAAGATTGCCTGAGCCCAGCAGGTCAAGGCTGTGGTGGCTGTGAGCATGCCACTATACTCCAGCTAAAGAGAGACTCCGATTCATAAATAAATAGAAATAAAAGCGCCTTTAAGCAGAGTGAGGCTCTGGGTCATAAATAAATAGAAATAAAAGTGCCTTTAA